ATTGGACCATTGCTGTGCGTCCGATGCCTGTTTTACGCGAGCGCCCGCAGCGCTCCGAAGCTTCGTCTCCACCGGACCTATTGCCAGGATGGCCTTGCAGAAGTCGCGAAGGTAGCGGGTGTCGGTTGAACTTTCAGTGGCCACTCTCTGTGCAGCTTCCTGCACCACTGACGGTATGGCACCACATGCTGCTTTGGCGGCTGCATCCGCCGCTTCATTGCCAGCGGTCAACCACCGTTCCCAGGTTGTCATGGAAGCCAGCTCAGCCTCCCGACGGTGAGCCTTGACCTTGTAGACGGCAAAGTTGGCTCGAGGTGCAATGTTTTCAAGAAGATCCGCGTTGCAGCTGCGCGATATAGACTGCCACCCCGCAAAGGCCAACTGATGCCAAAGGTCCACTGCTGATTGACAGTCGCTGTAGAGCTCGACATCCTGTTCCGGGCGAAGTGCACACCATTGATGAGCCCAAACGATGGCCGCAAGCTCGGCACGGGGCACAGTTTGCAGCCCTGTCGGGCTGCCCTGGGCAACAATGGCAAAAGAAGCAAGCAGCTGTTGGCTCTCAAGCTGCCACGGTTCGATGTACGGAGCTCTGGGGGGCCTGGGGGAGGAAACCACTGCCCATGCTGTAAGGCGCGCGAGGCTGTTAGTAGAAAATAAAGCGCTGCCATCCGTGAAAAGGCACAGGCACGGCACTGGACGAGGCGGTGCCGGCAGAGTGGGTGGTCCTGAAACAGCAGCTGAAGCACCGAAGCCTCCTGTGGCCAAGCAACGTATGTCAGATGGGCCCAATGGGGGCGGTTTGCCTGTACCCAATCAAGAACATCCTGGAAGGCCAAGCGCTGCTGGGAAAGGGCTGGGCACTTGAACAGCCGGTGAGCCTTGGAATCCACTGCTGAGCAAAGCGGACAAAACTCTGTATCGTCCCTGGACCAAGTGTTACGTTCAGCGCCCGACATGAATCCCCCACTGTAGTGCTGGGCCAGAAACTTAAGCTCCCAAGGCTGAAACTTGGTGAAGACCTTCTGTGACAACTCCGGGCACGGGACCGGAGCAAACATTAGCCCATTCCGATGACAGAAATTGTCATGCACGACATCGGCCCAAGCCGTGGCAACAGCTTTGCGTATGCACTTGATGCTTGTTTGCTTCACATGAAACGTCTGGTGTAGGGGGCCTCTGCAAATGCCTGACGCGTAGACGGTCCAGCCATTACGATGCAGTAGATTTTGCAGGGCGCCTGCTCGGCAGCAGACTGATCGGGCCGAGAGCAGCTCTTCACTGGAAACATTTTGCCAAACCGCGGTGGCAGTGGCCGGGTCGGTGGTAAAGCACCTGCGCAATTGGCTAAGGTGATGGCACAACAGGAAGACCTCAGGGTCCTGCACACCTGGGGAGAAACAAAGGGCCGCCCAAGGCGACAATGTCTTATGTTCCCCGGCGACTGCGCGAGAAGCCGCGCTCCTCAAACCTGCAACTGTGGAGCGGGGTGGGAGGCAGGCCTCAGTACCATAAAAGAGATACGGCCAAATGCCACTCTGGACGATCCTTGCTCGGACCGGCAAGCCCTGGGGATCCGAGGCAAGCTTGGCCAAGCGAGAAAGTGCTTCCTTACACCGAACATTGAAGGCTCCACTGCAGCCGCGGCGGCCGAAGGTAAAGAAAGAGCCAAGCTCCACATTATCCACAAGCTCCAAGCGCACACCCTGGGGCACGAAAGTGGCACCATGTGCCTGCCACCATTTCTTGGATTCTTTCTGAAGGGCCCAGACGTATGTCTTGCCCCAGTCAATCTGAAGCGAGAGACTGTCCGTGAGGTCTTGCAAAATCAAGAGGGCAGGCCCATGATTGTCCGGGGCGTCGGATGTCCAGGACCAGTTGTCAACGTACGTGCGTGGTGCCACAAGATCCTGCAACAAGCGCACGAAACACCAGCAGAGGGCAATCATAGCCAAGACCGATGTAGGGTCGCCTTCGGGGGCCCCAGTTGTTGACCCCAAGTCCGGGCCCAGACTTTGATTGATCTGGAAAGTACGGCTGACTTTAGACAATGATCGCTTCCAAAAGTTGCAGACCGGCGCAGGGAGCCCCAAGA